TACCCTCTTCACGTAAATGCTGTTGGAAACCTGGAATGAGTGAATTTTGTGCGCAGATGAAAACTGCGTGAAATCTTTAATAACTGTACGACATCGGGAAACTTTTCCTATACACTTTTTTGGGTTTATTTGCTGATGAACAATTGTTTAAAATATGTGCTCGTTCATAATATATCGTCAATCAGACATCCATAACAAACAGCCCTAATCCGAAGGCTATCTGATGAATTATTATTATAATTATTATCATTATCAGAAGAAGACCAACCGCACACAGCCCTCATCGAATTTTTTGCTGCCTTATCAGCCGTTTGGTATCGATGCTGAAATATTACAAGTCTTGAATGTAGCATATTTCAATCATGGGACATTCATTCTCAGTTAAGCGCTGACTCATTTTCATAGGTTTCTATTTAGTAGAATCGATATCAGCTCATCAGTCAACTGCTTTTCAACCTTTTCACGTAGCTTCCCAGTTGTCCTCAGCTTTCGTGGAAATCGTCACAAATAAAAAATTTACGAGGACGTTAAACATCTCCTTAGAGTAGAAGAAATAAAAATGAGTATTGGATAGGTTCATCATGTTCGTTCAAGCGCCACCAGAATTGGCTTTGATAAAATGAGGAATTAAGGAAATAAAAGTGCTGACTGTGAGTAAAATTTACCGCAAACTGGTCATACTGATGGACGATCGCTTTCCTCACCTTCGAAACCTGTCCTTGAAGAGGCAACGGTTCGGCAGGCACGAGACTGTACTGTACTGGCACATCTTCGGCGTACATTGGCAACTAAAATATCAACTGAATCATTTGGCTTTCGCTGACGACTGAAACTCGCGCTTACACAAAAATTATTCCACACATTTTCTACATTACTTTTCGAATATTATTCCTTTTGTGGTCACTCGAAATTTTCGTCCAATTGAACAAATATTCAGCGAATTAAGTTACTTCATTGACTGTAACCAGCTTGGTAGGATCGGGTGTGGGTCGTTTGTCAGCCATCGTCATAGCCCACCAACGCTTTAATAAATCACTATTACTCTTTGCTGATTCTTCTTTCCGATCGTCGTTCATCTACTGAGGCACACCACGAAATTGTCAATGTCCTCGTTCGAACCGTCCGCACCTGAAAAATAATTTGATCACATAATCAAACGATGTTTCACTTAATTTTTTCAAAACCTTTCGCAACAAAATGAACGTCAAAACAATCTTTCATGTTTTTCAAAGTCAACGACAATACACTAAACCCACTGATGAATTCGAACTCTCTTAAGCTGATATACTGAAGTCAGAACAACAAGGAATCATAAGCTAATCGTAAATAAAAAGACGATTTTATTCAGTATACTGCAAAAAATCCGAATTTTTGGCTAACTGAATTTATTTTTCGCTAATTGTAAGTCTCACTGCATAAATTCAATTTTCAGAAGTTCAATTTAAAATCGGAACGAAGCATTTTAATACCACAAGAAAACTATGAGAGCAGCGTAAAAAATTAGCACTTTATACTATTCTACTTCAAAAACAACGTTTTCAGATTGTTCCATATCGCTCGTATGCGTACACTTGAAAGTTCGTTCAGTGCATTTCGGCTTCAAGGCCGCTGATCACTGGATTTATTTGAAAATTACATTGCACAATGAATTGTAAACAGTCTCCGTCTTGAATTCTATCTCATTCTGGATGAGTATGTAAAAGTATATATCATAAACACCAAATCCTTGGAATCATGAGAACAGATTCTTGTGAATTCCTTCGGCCGCATGTTACATAGTCGGTACATAACATTCATGAAATTCCACAACATTTAATAGATGACAAAATATTAATAGTCACCGAAACTGATTCCTTGAAGGAGTCGGTGACAATGATTAATTTAACAAGATGATAATAAATAATAAACAAATAATTTGTGATCTAGTCACGTCGGTGAGATAATCTCAGTTGAATCGGAAGTAAAGTAGAAAGCTTCAACGCCTCATTCA